GTTGGGATATTTTTTTTATATATGGCAAAAGTTGGGGCATTTTTTTATTCTCTCTTTTTTATAAGACCGTTTTGTTACCGGTTTCTCCTGTCTGTTTTAAAACCAACAGGTCCTTTGAGTCTTCACGTCTGCCAGTAGGTCCGAGTTACACTTGCCGCGTGAACCTTATCGTCGAATACCAGCTAAAGTATGGGTGTTGAAAAAACTGCAGCGAATGTGTAAGTACGCGTTTTTAAGTGTTACAAGCAAATGAAGCACCGGGTTGACAGCCGAATACGTTGCGGTAACCGCATGTGGTTGTGATGACATGTAGCAGTGAGAAGGACACTGCTGGACAGAAGCGTAAGAACTCAGATTTGAATGAAAATAGTACGAAAGGAAACGCTAATTCGAAAAGAGAAGACGACAAAGACGGTGAGGACTCCGAAGATCACGTTGGTGGGACCGAAGACGACGATGACGAAGGTGACGATGATGAGGATGACAGCGACGAGGAGGACATGGCCCCAAAGTCAAAAAAACGTCGAGCGAATGAAAGTGAAAGTGACAACAGTGGAAACGAGTCGGAGTCTGAGCTTAAGATGACGGAAGACGATCTTGTTGGTGTCGATACGTCTAACATTATACCGCGCTCGCAACGTCGCGCCGCAAAGGCTGCCATGGCGCTGTCGTCAGATGAGATTGCTACTGAAATGGGTCATACACCCGCTCCACTGAACGGTGAGAATGAGGATAATAGTGATAGCGAAGAAGCCGTGTTTTAAGCATAGTATACGATCTACTAATTGATTCGCCTCAATTATTGTCCATCAAGCGTCTATTACCTTCAAAACGATTCACAGAGCCTATCACTTTCAATGGCATTACGGCGCGGGTCCAAGTAATTTTTCAAAATGCCAATAAGCAACTTCAGCAGCACGAGTTCGCGCTAATTTGTAAGATGCTCCATTTGCCTTCAGTATCGACTAAATGGCAGCGGAATTTAAAAGTTACAAGATATTACATACATCACGCGTTGGAAAAACCATTGCGTACCCGTCCTTTGACATAAAGCTCGACAGTAAACTCAGACGCGCTTCCAGGTGCTGGAAGATACCTGCATAATACTTTAATTTCTTAATGTCTTACTAATCAGTATAAAGCTCGTACTTGTATATAGGCTGTCCATAATAATGTCCTTGTAACAGATTCTGCAATTCAACAACAGGTTCCCAAATGACGTCACGAGTAGCATACTCAACTGCACGAGGAAGAATGTGCTTTGTCACAAAGTCCATCGCGATTTCCATACCCTACAAAAGCAACGTATCACTATCCCTGTGAGACTGTTCATCGGTATTTGCTCTCACCTGGTCTAGATAAATCGCCGCAATGACTGATTCTACAGCGCCTGCTGCGATTGTCACTCGTCCTTTTACAGCCAGCGGTGAACCATTTGCCACATCAAATCCAGGTGGCCAAAGGAGTAGATCTGTAATCCCTAAATCTGCACCTATCTTTGATAATGTATTATTATTCACGAGTGCGGACTTGGCACGTGAGAGTTGACCTTCTTGATGTCTTGGCAGCATCTGAAACACATATGCTGCTGCTGCCGCACCCACCAGTGAGTCTCCTAGGAACTCCAAGCTGCGATTTGATAAGCGCACTACTGGAACATCCGTTGGTACAGCATTATTTGGAAGACATCCATGGTGAGTCAATGCACTTTGCAGCAATGTAATGTCTTGAAACTCAATCCCAATTTGTTCCTGTAATTTCTTCAGTCCAGATTTCCAGTCTTTTATAATCGGTACATTTTGAAAATGTTCCGGTTTGATTAATTGCCAGTCCAAAGTATTTTTTGGATACATTAACTGTTGTACTGTCATCCTTTTGGTCGAAATAATATCGCCATCCAAGTGACGACGTTCCAATCGCGTAAATTGACCTGGTTCTGCTAGTGCTTGGCTCTTGCCTTGACTTGCACTGACCGTGATAGTCTTTTCAGCAGCTACAGCTGCTGAAACAGCATCTGCAACAGCTTGCGGACTATTAAATCCTTTGGGCAGAGAGCTTTGTGGTGAATATGCGCGGGTGTTGCGTCTGACCGCAAGTGTACTGCGAATGCGCATGCTTTGATTGAGATGTGGTGTAACAAACGTAAGTACTCGTTAATTTGTTACTAAATTTGAAAGGCTTTTTGAGCTGTTGTAGTATTAGTAATCACACTGGTAGTTACGGTTACTCTTCATTGAAGTGAAAATTAGGTAATTGGTTAATCGGTGACAAGTGCTCTAAGAGATAAAACGCCCATCAAAGCATGCTCAAAAGAGAACATGTTGATGGCCGACAGCCAACTCATGACCTCGACTTCGAAACGACTTTGCGATCTACTGGAAGTAGCTAGTACATAATTGGAAATACAATTTACGACCAAAGGAAAACGGAAATGTGCTTACCAGAGAAATAGTGTATGTCTCACTAATGTGACAGACATCAGTCGCCTGGATAAACTCAAAAGGGTCAGTTTTGAGATAAGAGATGTGAAGTATAAGTTGCTGTGATGACGTTAAAGGTGAATTGGTCGCGCCTAGATTTTTTTTTGTCCTCGACAACACATACGCATAGCCATTAGGTTTCATTTGAAATCGATTTCCCATTACATTCTTGAGGACTCCTTGTACGAACGCACCTCTCCAAGCTGAGTGTCATTCTTTTTAACTGACAACAAACACATACAAAAAGTTGAGTAGCATTTTCCAATCAGTGTTGTCACAATAAAATTCGTATATTAGCTATCTGAATGACTCTGCATCTGTCGAAAAAAGAACATATCGGTGACAGAATTTACTGGAGATATGAAATCAATTATTCTGAAGCAGATGTATGCAATCCGATATCGCGCCTATGACGATTCCACTTTGATGCATTGTCAAGTATCCATCGCCGAGGTAGCGATGACAATTTCAAGGTTATTTTGAACTTGAAAGAAAATACAAATTTCGACATTAACTTAATTCGAAACAATGTTTTAATTCTTTGATTATTTCAATATTGGCAACTGATTGAGCTTAGTCTACTTTGTGGGTCATGTATGTACATGGCAAAGAAAACCAGAGTGGATAAAATCCGCCTGAAATTACAGATGTACACTTTTCCGTGACCCTTTGCAAGATCGAGAACTAATCGATACGATATCCAAGGCACATTGCGTCGGCGAGCCATTGTGGTGGGTGAAAAAAAACGTAGGTACATTTCTACCAACGGAAAGACATAAACTAATTTACTTTCAACACCTGTGTGTTTTAATCCAATCGTTGCCGGTCAATAACGTAAGCTAAGAAAAAGCGCGACAAACTAAAACAAAAAAGTGACAAGCGAGCCCTCATTCAAAGATGGTACACGCAAAAAAACGCCATGGTGACAATGACGCTCATGATTCAAGAGTGAGGTAGTGCAATGCAAAAACTTGTTAGAAAGTAGGTACAGTGCTAAAGAGCCCAAAAGTTTCGATCGTTGAAGAGTCGTCGAAGCGGAGAGATCCAGAGCAAAGACACTTGTGCGGGAGGAGATAAAATGAGTAGTACTTCAGTCAATGCAATTTTGTCTTACCTTATCAGTCTACTTTTCTCGACATGTGACGTCACTGACTTACCTTTATGTATCGCAAGTTTGTGTTGGAGACTGGCCTGAAGGGAACCTGTCTACTAATGATATACCAGTTGCGCTAAATAGTATTCATCTTCGAAGCAAAACATGATATCAGTCGTGCGTTCAGTACCACAACAGTATGAACCTTACATCATTTGTGTGCTAAAGGGATGGTTTGGGATAGCAAAGGTAATGCTCTTCTTACTCCGCTTTCTGCTATTCTTAACTTGAAAGAACATTTTATATGGTGACAACGCACCGCAAGAGCAATCATTGGCTATGGTTCAGCGTTAGCATGGCCTCGGAAGCCTCGTTTGGACGACAGGAACATCGTGCCAGATAGGCATCTTGAAAAGCTTTAGACTCATTCTTACCCGGAAGAAAACTTGCGCGATCGTTCGTATCGACTGCAGCGAAATCATTTCGGCAGTATGGATGTGAGATTGATGAGCTTCCCCGAATATATTGAAGTTGCGAGAAGTTATAAATTGACATAATGGCTTAACAACAGAAACCGAAACTTCGACACTCTTATCATGACATGAAAGTCACCGCATTTGCTTAGCCGCACAATCATGAGAACAATATATCTTTGTAATAACAAAACAAGCTAAATAGCAACAAGTAGCCGAAGAAATGTTGAAGAATCTCATTTTGCGAGGTTGATTTTATTGAAGCAAACTAGACCAATGCTGATTAGAAATGCTGGCGGGCTGCCGTAGCTCGTTTGCTTAGTGAAAGCTCAATTAAGGCCGGTAGCCTTGATCCACACCCTTCAAACCTGGGCTCGTGAAACCCCGTTACACTTTCCCCCACCAAGATTGAGAACACCTTCATTTTCCTTCATTTCACATTCAACTGTCGCCTCGAAAGAGGCTAACGCGTCTAAGACACCACAACACCACAACACCACTAGGACCTTCTTCACGTATTCTGTGCTCATTAAACCTTGTGTCGAAGACACGAAAGACACCCAGTCTCGCTGGTTCCGAGAATACCCGCGGGTAGTGCCCTCCTTCGTCTCCTGCACGCGGTGCTACTCCGGACAGCACCTCCGCGGCTTCAATGGATGAGCAACTATAGCTCTCGGTAATAGAGTATCGCACAGCGCATTGTCAGGGACAGGGTCGAACAAATCCGGACACAGACGCGATGCCTACTCCCGACCACGGGCGATGGATTTCCTCGTCGAGGATTCTAAGGAAATCGACTATGAGTCGGATGCTCCTCTCCCAGGATGGGAAGAAAAAGAGGGCGAGATGTCTCAAAGGCGCGACGTAAGCCTGCTCAGACCTTGCGGACGCCGTGGTCGTTCCCCAAGCTATCTACCTTCGGAGGAAGTATAACCGATCGCCTCAACAAGGCACAGAAGCAGCAGCTCGATGCTGTCCGCAGGGCGGCACTCATGCGTGCGCATCCACGGTCGATCCTTAACCCTCGTGTGAAATACGGCTTCCGCTAGGCGGAGCTCGCTACATAAGCGAAGGGTGCGATCACTAGATCGTTATGGCGTCTACGTGGTCGGGTCTCCGACCGCTACACAAGCTGAGCTTGTCGAACGGAAAGCTCTGCGAGCTAGCTTCTTGACTCCTCAAGAGGTTCCGATGGATAGGTAACATGCTCGACTTCGCGCGTAAATAAAAGACGCTTCTGTATCCGGGATGTGTCGATATCTGTGGTACTCGCCCCTAGCGAAACAGCTGTAGATGATGAAGGACTCATTGAGCTATGGGTGCAGCGGCACCAAACATTTCCTCGCTGTTCAACTTACAGCAGAGCAACATGGAGGTAGAGGTGCGCGTGGAACGCCATCTTCGGTTCGAGTTTGCCAAAGTCAATGCGCAACGCCGACTTTCTTCGTAGTCACCCTGCGAAGAATAGTTCATCACGCTCCCGCGCGCTCTGTGGTCTCTCGCACGGGTGAGGCTGCGATCACAGCAACTGAAGATCCTAGTTAGAGCTCAGCTCATGGTCCTTCGGTCTCCCTGACTATTTCCCAGAAGCGTGGGGCGTAAGACGACGTGATATCTCGTGATTCCTCTGATCATAAGTGTCCACGACGTCTGGGCAGTGCTGCCAAAGTACCACGAGCTCTCGGAGTCTGGGTATCTTCGCCACTTCAGAAGATACTGAGTTTGATCCTGTCGACGACGTCGACCCACCACGTGATAGTGGACGCCACCGTTCATGTCTAGAAGAGAAGGCGGCAGACGATGACGACTTGGTGGATCGCCGACGGTGTTTTGCGATGCACTTCGAGCTTTGGAGGTCAAATTTCATCGTGTTCGGGACTCCATTGAGCCTCATGCTGGGGTCGCATACCGCTGTGCGGAAGGCCTGGAGAGCTTGAAGCACTTTGTGCACCGACTGCCTCACGGTTGGGACTATAGCGCTTTGTTGAAGCGGCTCCTAGCCGTCGAGCAAACGAAAACGACACTTTGTGCTACGGTGGAAGGCCTTAAACCGTTGGAGATGAAGATCGTTGCACTTCGTGCTCAAAACCAGTTGCTGGTCCAGCTTTTGGGTGGTAGGGCCAACGCATCATCGATCACATGCACCGGATCCTGGTTGGGCTTGAGCAATCCCACATAATACATCGGGTGAATGCGTATCCGTTTCGAAAGGTTATGCGTATACACGTGGCCCCGCTTGGCCACAACCTTGAAGGTTCGATAAACTGTGGACGGAGCTTTGACTTAAAGACAGCAGATATCGCATGGGTTAGCAATTAATAAGACCAGTTCTTCGGTTTCAAAATTTTCAACAGTTCCTCTTCTGTCTGCATGTGTTGGCTTTCAGCAATTGCATCGCGAGCGTATCGTAAGACAATCGGTCTGGTAGACAGGAAGTCATCCACTTCGTTACACAGTGAGGAGGCTGCATCAGCTAGCCGCTCGGCTATTCCTCCCCAACCAAGCCCTATGGCGGCGCCAGCGGGACGCAAAAATGAACGAGCCCGATTACGTAGAACGGCGTATTGCCGGAAGACGAATGCACTGCATTGTATAGAGCGAGCGCAGTATGGCGCTCCAGCGCTTCGGTGTCTCAGCGCAGACGCTGCGAAGAACGTATTCAAAGACAAGATTGACACGCTCAATTTGATCATCGGTCTGGAGACGGTCCACTGTTGACATAGTCAACTTAATGCCCAGCACGCTGAAGATTTTAGACCAAAACTTTCCAGTGAAGCGTTGGTCTCTGTCAGAGACAATTGACTCCGGGAGTCCATGTTGCTAAAAGACACGATCCACAAATAGCGTCGCTATACCATCACCATAGATGGTATCCGGCACTACCGCAAGATGCGCCATCTTGCTCGAACAGTTGACAAAAGCCCATAACACCTGTGTCGCCCGCCGAGTCCTTCGGCAGGCCAAACACGAAGTCCATACTCATGGACTGCAAACACCTAAGGATAACGGCAACTGGCCAACGGTGCCGTCACACTTGGAGAAGGCTTCACTCTTTGGCATATCTCACACGTGCGCACAGATGTGCTCGTCACATTTGTACAGCTTGAGTCACGAGTAGTGGCGACTCACAGAGCTGTAGGCTTTTCACGACCGAAATGACCAGTGAGTGGGGTGTCGTGGGCCGCAAAGAGGGTTGAGGAATGTCAATTCGTCGCGTATCTGTCGGGTCAGTGCTATAACACAGCAATCCATTATTTAATGAATTTCGGCGCACCGTGCACGCAGTCGCGACGACAACTTCTTGCTCGAGTTTCCGAACTCCTTGCTCCCGAGAGCCTGCACTAGCGCTACGCAGATATCATCACCCGTGTACGCGTCGCGGATCAACTCCGTCACTGAAGACGTCACCGTCGTGACATGAGCGAGCTGATAGTCTGGTCTGCGTGACAGCGCATCAGTCTGAGCATTCTGCTTTCCTGGCTTATACTTCACCTCGAGGTTATATTCTGCGAAGAAGGGGTGCCACCTGGCCATCCTCTGCGAGAGGTGAGGCGACTGAGTCGCAGTGCGTAGTGACGCATAATCTGTGTAGATCACGAAAGGCATGGAACCGAGCAGGTATTCCGTGAACTTCACAAGTGCATACTTCATCGCAAGTAAATTTTTTTTCTCTGCAGGCTTGAGCTTCAAACGCGATCACTCGATCTAGTCCCTCGGCGTCTGCGTGCAGCAGTACACAACCGACGGCAAAGTGCGAAGCGTCACATACGACACTGAAAGAACGACCAGGGTCTTATTTTGAAGGAGGCTGTCTTTGACTCCAATAAAAGCCTCCGGATGCTTGGTGTTCCAACACCATTCCGCATCCTTCTTAAGGACATTCGACAATGGCCGTGCCATTCCCGCGATGCTCTCGCTGTAGGTATACAAGTAGTTGGCAAGGCCAAGCTACTTGCGCAAGTCCTTCTGGTTCTTTGGAACCGGCCAGCTAGAAGGCTCGCTTCCCGATGAAGCACCCTAAACGAGGATTTTTTCGGCGCCGAAAAAGCATTGTCTTCATCTGCATACAGCTTATTCGTGCGCATGCATTTGAGCACCGCTGCATTCCAACCGAGTCGTGCCGACTTGTAATTGAATTCGGCATTCAATGCCACATTCTTCGCCTCTTCAAGCGAAGACGGATGCCGACAGAAGACTTCAATTCTGGCCACACCAGTGCGAAGGCCTATCATAATGACGGTCACTGTAACCGCCTCCGGAAGTGATTTTGCTGCCATCCTGGCAATGAGAGTGCACATCTCTTGGACAAAGTCACCAATTCCTTGTTGCACTGTCGGGTGGCAAGGAAGCGCGATCGTCGCGATATGCCTGATTAGGCGGCGAGAACACTCGTGAGAGCTGCAATTTCAGCTCCGCCCAAGAGGGAAATGCCGCTTCGACCGAAGTGCCGCACGTCAGTGCCCATTCTCGCGCTCGACCA